ACTACATTACGGCCATAAAATATAATATTGAGAGCTGTTGAGTAGTATACTGACTAATGTTCATTGTCTATAAAACAGCAAAACTGAATTTGTACGTTCTCTTTAGTGACAAGCATAGATATATCTGTAAACCAGTCTAATATTTATCCCCTCGAATACGGTAACTTAATGTGAATACGAAACTGTGTAGAAATTCACGTTGATCTATGTTTCACCACTGAGGTGAAATGTTGAATGGAATGTTAAAATTGAATTATCACCAACATACATTCAAGTCTATACAGTTATAAGACTACAAAATAATGCAATTAAAATCAAAAATAGCATAATGAATTCATGTCTCGATAACCTAGTTAACTAATATTGTTAAATTATGACCAACAGTGCTAATGTTCACATTGAGTCTTGAACTCAGTACCTTTCATTTCAAACTTCAATGTATCATACAAGGAAGCTACTGAATCCGTACAGTCACCAGCCTATTAAATGAATATAAAGTTATATACGAATAGCTTCAAGTTTTTCTGTTTTAAATATCAAGGAAGATTAATAAAATACATTTAATCGTTTCAATTTCATGGAGAATAAAACCAAGCAAATAGCTTGTTGTATTACTGTCTACAGTAATCTACACAAAAGATAATACACTATTATATATTTTGAATAGATCACTAATTTTTACATAATACTGATTATTAACAAAGAATATATTCCTTGTTAAGCAATATACCATATACAAATGTAATAAATTAAGTATAAACACACATCATCGATGGTTACGGATAAGTTAAATATTCTTGTTAAGCATAATTGAATTCCATCAAATAGATGTTTGTATAATCGTTTACAAATACAAAGGTATTTATTTTAAAAAGCAAGTTTAATATTGATAAAGAAATACGCTAAACATTTTAATATTTAATAGTTAAATTCATGAGTCGACCACCATAGAAAGTGTGGAAAAACTACTATGTGACTACTCAGCAGTGTATATCCATGATCTCATCCGAGGGATTCGAACTAGGACCTTCGGTTACGCTTGCGAACACTTAACCTCTAAATCATTGAACTGGTATCTAACAATGTTAATGTCTAACTTCAACTAATCCACAAAATATTTCCCCGATAATCACTAGGCATTAATAAAACAATCTTTTTCTTTCTTTCTTTTTCTATCGATTACTTTTGAAAAATCTAATTAATAAATTATTATGATTCAATAATGATTATCATCCTATATACCTTCAGTATAATTATTGAAATGTATTCAAAAGATAATGTCAATAATAAGAATAACATCAATTAAAGAGTATTCAAGAAAAAAAAATAATATTCACTATAAAATAAATTTATTTAAATAATAAAATCAATTTAATTATTTTGTTTTAATTAATTAATTACTCTTAATTACCAAATATTTAATTAAATTAATAAATATCAATCTTATATAATAATGTCTCCTTAATAAACTTAGTAATTATCTAAATTGGTGTTATGTATATATATATATTATATATATATATATATATATATATAAGTTTTAGCCATTATTATTAGGTAAATAAGCATTTTAATAGTTGAATTCATGAGTCAATTGAAGCTAGACCACTATGGAAAACCTGGAAGTACTGGACGGCCGTTTCATCCCATTGTGAAACTCTTCACCATTGCGCATCCACGGTCCCGCCTCACGAGATTTAAACCCAGGATCTATCAGTCTCGCAAATGAACGCTTAACCATCGAACCACTGGGCCGTCATCCAACGATGTTAATGTCTAACTTCAATCAATCCACAAATTTCTATATATATATATATATATATATATATATATATATATATGCGTGTAATTGTGTACACCTCTTTTCCTACTTTTTTTATATAATCGTTTGGAATATGTAAATATTACTTGTTTCTACTTATAGATATGACTTACAGAAATATTTGAGACAAAAGGAATTCTATAACATAAAAATAACCAATTTTTATGCATGATAAAATTTTTTATTTTGTTTATTAAAGATATAAGATGAATCATCAAGTAGTCAGTTAAAACAAAATAATGAGAAAACAAATGAAAGTTTGAATTTCATTCTCTTTAGAGTTTGGTTTTACGAAACAATGATCTTATATTCAAATAGATCTATTTATCAGTATAAAGTCAACAGTATTCAAAACGATTCATTACCATACAATAATTTGAAATAGCTAACTAGGGTGATGAAATATTGTAGTTTTACATTACAGAACGACGTTAGTTAAGTAACGATAAATAACGAGAAAGCATTAAATGTTCTAGTGTAGAACTCTTCAATAGTATGAAACCAGGATTCCACCAAATATTAAATTTAATACATTGAGCCCTCATGGTGGAGGGCCTGATCTACGAATTACTGAGGTGATATTTAAATATTCACATATCTCAAATAGTTAGAAGCTTTATTTATTTTGATGGAGTTTTGTTCTCTGAGTTGGATGGTTTGGTCATAGAGATTTCATCGTTCTTCTGAACGATATCATCAACAAAAACTTTAGCTAGACTTCTACCTAACATTTACCATCCAGCTCAGAGAACAAAACTCTATCAAGATTATCCACCTGAGCTACAAATCTTCTCCATCATGTTAGTTTTATTTATAGAAACATACTTCACAATTATTATGTAATTTTAAATATTCCAATGATTCACTAGTAAAAAACTGAAGTTATGCTAATCGCATTTAATACCTTCGGAATATATTGACACTATAATTAAAATAATAATGAAAAAAACAGTATTATCCATTCATTCATTCATTCATTCAAATAGTAATTATTATTTATTCATCGGAAGTGAGTAATTACCAGTATTTATAATTCAATTTTATTGTTTCTTTCACTATCTTTAATCTGTAATTGTCATTAATTCATAGATCAAGATTAGTTTTCAGAAAGAAAAAGAAAACAACAAATAAACCAAATGCAAATCATTTGAAAATTTGTTAATTATGATCGTTATAGCGGATATATGAGGAGAAGAGATCAAAATCTTTTTTTTTTTTCGAAATTGTATACACTTAGATACAATTTTATAATTTTCATTGATTTGTATTATGATTAATTATTAATTTGTAAATGTTACTATGAATGATTGTTGTTTTTTTTCTCTTTTTCTTCTATAAAGCTACTTGTAAACGGAAAAATTAGTTTCTAACAAATATTCTAATAGGTAGAATAAATAGAAAAAAACAATTCAACATTGACAAACATTATGAACTAAGTTATGATCAATAAGTAATGGTAGATACAACATAGTTATGGAATTCAATTAGTATGAACAATCTGTATTACAACTCTTATAAAGAGTGAAATATTATGGTTGGGTAATAAATCTCGCAGAAGGCGAGGTCGCGGATGCGCACAGCTGAGGAGTCCCACAATAGGACGAAATGGCCGTCCAGTGCTTCCAGGTTTTCCATGGTGGTCTAGCTCAAACTGACTCATGATCTTAACCATTGAAATTACTACAATCTCCACAAAACCCATCTGATATTAATAAATGTATGATTGATTATTTATAGATTAGTTTCTTAAGAGTTTGAATTTTTACAAATTAACATGAGGAATCTGAAATTTTAAACTGGATAACGTTTCGTATAGTATTCAAAATAAGTCATACAGTTAGAGATGTTCTCGCAAAGCTACTATGGTAGAGAGAGATTTTCATATTAATCAGTCATTTATTATAAGATAAATGTGGCTTGTAGTTGAAACAGCTCAGCTAGAACATAATTGATTATACCTCTAAGCTCAGATTTGAAGGATAACTTTAGGCTCCTTTTAATTCCAGACACAATTTGCTAAAAAGTATCAACTAGCACGAAGTTTAGTTTAAGGTCTTCTATTCATTGTTTCTAACTGATTGATGTTAAACAAATGCACCACAATATAAAATAACTTACTCTACAGTAACAATACGTCTTTGTAAGTTAATCATTAGTTTATATTCAAAATTATCGCCTGTGGTTACAATTAAAACACTCGAATTCTAAAACTCAAGACAATTACTTCAACATTATGAGATAATAGTAGGTTAAAAATACATTTCACAATAGAGTGCACTAAATTCTTTGGCATTATTGAAAAAGACGATTTATCGACAACAGAATTCACTGAGCTAGAATTAAAATATCACGATCTTCATCTTTGAACAATTTGTACTGCTGCTCGGTCGTCATTCACCAAGATCACTGAAACCCATATCGTTGCTGTGACACATGAACTGAAATTTAAAGACTTTTTCGTATGTGTAGTTTTTTCACTAATAATAAACTGCCTACCAAAGTAGATTATTTTACAAAAATACACTATATATCATCTTGTTTATTATTCATTTAAACACATAAACATTAGTACAAGGAAGCACCAAATAAATATGCGCCACATAAATCATTCTATTTGTCTGACGGCCAAGATACTTCCCGTATGCCCAAACCGAAGCAGATGGTTTTCTTAGGGGGTCACAACCGGAGCCTTTGACCTAAATGCCTGATCCACAAGGCAGTGGAGTAACCTAAGGAGATGGAGTTCCATGGTAGGCGGTGACCAATAGTAGGTCCATACGCCATTTGTTCCTTCGAGATACTGGGGCCCATGTCCACCATTGGTTTGGAATAAGGGTTTTCCAACTCACTTAGGTGGAGCCTCCATGTCCACCAACCCAGTCGAAGCACCGAAAATTCGCTTTTCGTCCTCCCGATTTTGTAAACAACATTAATGTCGCGACAAGGAAGTGAGTAGGAATTCCTTGTCAGTGGTTGTATGTACGTGTCCATTTAAGAGCATTTGAGAGGGAGAGCTAACTATCCCACTCTCGGCCGTACCTGGGCATTTAAGGGCTATATATATTTGTGAAAATTAAACTTTGACTAAAAAATAACTAATCTATCGATTTATTGTTAAACGATTGAAGTGAAAAATTAAAAACATTAGCTATTTGTTATCATTTAAACATCTACTTACTTAAATGCTGGTCCACGTGGGTCCACTTGATCGATCAAGGGAAAACTGGTCAGTTCTAAAGAAAACTGATTTGATATTGGAGCAATCAATGTAAATCCATAGCCTATATATTCATATGGCTCAAGTAGCACTTCAACTTCTTCACATCGACAAGCTGCTGTTGGTGTACTACTCAATGGAGTTGCTGATCTTAAAGATCTCATGGATTTTAAACATTCTATCAAAAGAAAACAAAGTATATGTTTTTAGTGAACTATCAGCCCATACACTCACACAACAAATAGTAATATCTTCTCGGTTTAACACCGATCATCATCATCCAAATATTAAAATGTTTTCAGGAAAGTATCATGTGAGTAGTTTTACTGCTTTCATTTTTTATCAATTACTCTTCTTATTCAAATACATAGAATACTATTTCCTGGAGTGATCTGTTTATAATCGAGTTTCTCTTATAGTTTTATAAATGTACAGTTTATTTTACACGTGGCGAAGTTAATTTTGTTCAGTATATAGCTATTTTCTTAAAGATATTACTGGTTACTATCCACAAAATATCATGATCCAGTTGCTTGTTTATATCAATAATTTTGAAGGTTTCAAAAAAATGATTTTAGTTCGTATCAAAAAACTGCTCTGAATCCTGATCTTCGTGTGAATATAATTAACAACAAAAACATAATTATTATTAGTATGATGGGTTTGTGTAGATCGCCGTAATTTAATAATTGAATTCATGTGTCAATTAAAGGCAGACCACAATGCAAAATCTAAAAGCGTTGGACGTCTTAGAATGGAAGGCAGTTACTCACTGAAGACAATGGTGGCTCAATATCGTGGATTGGTCAAAGTTAGATATTAACACTGATGAATACCGGCTCAGTGGTCTAGAAGTTAAGCGCTCGCGCGCAAGACCAAAGTTATTAAGTTCGAGTCCTTCGTGCGGGATCGTCGGTGACGATTGCTGAGAAGTCCGATAGTAGAACGAAACGGTCCTCCAGTTCTTCCAGGTTTTCCATGGTGGTCTAGCATTAACTGACTGATGAATTCGACTGTTAGATATTATAATCTAATATATATACATTATCTATAAATACTTAAATCATTTTAACTAATTACTTGCTTTTTGAACGTGAAAACATATGTAAATCATAAAAGTTACAATTACAGTTGTTAGTAAAAGTGAATTTTTACTGAAACTATGTACTTAATGGTTGTTTAGTCTATTCCTTTTAATCAGTGAATGACTATCAACTTTAATTTTAATAAGACATTTTGTAATATTTTTTATTATACTGTTATCTCTTGGTACATGAATATTTCCTAGTGAATCAATAAATTTGTAGTTTAAAGAACTTTTAATAATAAAATCCAAGTGCTTTGTCCCTGTCTATTTATCACTTGTCAGATAGATCAAACTATAACTAAATATCAACCTTTACAATGTAACTCTAAATCAGTGATCAATATTTGCTACACTACAGTACTATCATTTAGTAACTTCATCACATATTATTAGTTAAAGACTATGTATTTTCTCATATTATTCCATAAACGAACTGATTTCTATAAATTAATAGAATGTTCTACAAATGTTCACTAGTGTAAAAGAATTATAATTACTTTCAGCGTTTATGTAACTTCAGCTTATAAATGAATGAATTAAATAAGAGAAAGAGACCGAGACTTAGTTGAATACAAGAATCATGTTCAAAGTTTTATTGATAAAATTATTTGTAATTATCAACAAAATAATAATAATAGTAAAGTAACTGTGGGGGATGTTGATGATTGATGAAGATGAAGATTTCAAGGAAATGAAATGATGAAATACATTAACTTCATCTTCTACTAAACTGCAAGCTAAATCTACATGTCAACTTGAACATGAGAGAAAAAGCGAGAAATAGGGAAAGAACACTTTACTTCAAGGTTAGCTCATATGCAGAAAATCAAGAGTATTTATAGTATTTCAGATCACCATGAGCTTCTGGATAGTTCTAGAACCATTCTAAACATAGTAACAGGAAAAGTAATCATCCAATCAGAAATGCGATATGTGACTTTTCACTTTCTATATGTTTCTGAGAAACTTATAATGAATACTGAATAGATAAGAAATTTTCAAGCGTTTTCTGGGTCTTCTCAACAACAACAAAAATATTTATCAAAAGAATTAATTACTGGGAAACATTTATTTAAAGTGAATTGTTTTATCTTACTAATTACTTTGAATATAAAGAAAACAGGAACATTTCATATGATACAAACATTTTAATGATGCTTTCATATCTCCACTTATAGTTTTCATTGATACTTTTACTATAGATGTAGTCATTTATAAAAGTTATATGAATATTTAAACAAAATGTTCTAAACATTTCCCATAATAAACACTTCTGATATTCATTTTAATAAATTTTTTTCAGTTTATGATCAGCTAAATTAATTATGTCAAACTTCAACTAATCCACGAAATTGAGCCACACATCCACCATTGTCATCAGTGAGTTATTAACTCACAACAGACCTGGTTGAAATCCACTGATCACTGCTTCTCACTAGAACTCCAGGAAATAGTTCTTGAAGCCAGTCACTGATAAGCATATGTTAATTCATATCAGAAACGTTTTTGTGGAGATTGCAGTAATGTCAATAGTTGAAATCATGAGTTAATTAAAGCTAGATCACCATGGAAAACCTGGAAACGCTGGACGGCCGTTTCGTCCTATTGTGGGACTCCTCGACAGTGCGCATTCACAACCTCGCCCCTGCGAGATTCGAACCCAGGGCCTGCTGGTTTCGCGCGCGAGCACTTAACCACTAGACCATTGAGCCGGCATCCAACGGTGTTAATGTCTAACTTAAACTAATCCACGAAATTGAGCCACACATATATTTAATAATATAATGAAAAAAATTTTAAAAAATTATTAAATTCAATTCATTACCTGAATTATTCTGTATTGATTTATCTGAATTCATTATAGCATTTGGTACGATTGTAATCGTATTACATTTAAACCATTATTTTTTAATCTGTACATTGCTTCTTGAAGTTTAATATTTTCTACGCATATATCATCGATGGATTCAACTCGATCACCTTCAAATAAAGCTCCACATCTATGTTTAGGAAAAAACAGTGAATATTGATAGAGTAAGTCATTATATTTTGTGTAAAAAATACATCACAGATTGATCCTATCACTGAAAAAAAAATCAGGAAGCATTGAATGGTTATTTCAAATGAACGCGGAATTTAAAAGCATTGATAAACTATGACTTCATTAGGAGTCAAACTCAGGCCTGTTATATTTTTCATAGATCATTTAATCTTTTAATTAAACCAATAGTTTATATATAGAGCTTCAATTAACTCGCAATTTTACTCAGTTATCTTTAAATCTAATTGAGGGAATAGCTGTTCAATGATTCTTGGTTTACAGTAGTTGTCTATTTATGATCAATAATCTTTGTAATTTCTTTGAGGCAATATTAAATTTCAATCAAACAACGTTGAATGTACTTTTATACAGATGATTATTATGAATTTTACAGAGTACTAAGAAATAAACTTGATTTTGTTGCAATATTAATAGTTATAATTAGTAATGATGATTTAATATTACGGATATTGTAAGATTAAAAAATATTCCTAGCATAAAATACATAATATTACTACTTTGACTTTATTTGTAACTTCATATGGTATTGTTTACTTGAATCTTCCCATTAATGTTTAGGACTGCGATTGATCAGTCTTTTGTTGACATATGTATATCCTGTGTGGACTGCCTCGACATTGTTTTAGGTCATATGCCTTATAAGCAAAGATGTACAGATAGATAAATAGTTAAGTTGATAACGCGATGGAGTTTAATGCGAACGGTAGTGGGTACGAGTCTCGCAGTGAACATCAACTCTGACATGCAAGTACATCGAGCTGACGAGTATAAAATAAGATATCGGATTCCACTGCTAGCCGCTATCCACCTTTACTTTTAATTTGTAATTTTAAAAATATATATGAAGATTTATTCTACTATGAAAAAGTGTTTATTACTCTTGCTTATCAGAATAAATTTAATATATGAGTGCCAATGTAATCTGTTCTTGTCTCTTCAAACAAATATATATAACGATGAAAATGCTGTAACTAGTATGATGTAATAGTATTTAGAATTATGATAGGTTGTAAGTTTTTTCAAGAAAACATACAAGTACAATATATGCTTTATATATATGATTACTAAGTTTGTACAAAGGCAAAATAAGCAAATTTCTTGTAAAACCTAAAGGATTTAAAATTAGGTAATCCAAAATTGAAATAAGTAATGAAACTCTTATAGATGAATCATAATTCACATTTATTAGGTGCATTATTGCTAATTACAATTGTTATTATAATGAACGTTATGTCGATACTGATATGAATTAAATTAAATATTCCAGTTAAAACTATTAAAATTTTGTTTCTAGTCAGTTTTGTTAAGGTGTAATTAGATTTCAACCTGATGTTTCATGATATCAATCAAAAACTTATTAATCTCCTCAACTCCTATACTGATAATGAACATGTATTCACTAGTGACTAGCTTCATGAGCAAATTCTCGGAGTTCTAGTGAGAAACGGTGACCAATGGAGCTAATCCATGTCGGGTAGAGACAGGCATCTACCTAAGTACAATGGAAGATGGCCGCACAATTTCGTGGATTGATTGAGGTTAGACATTACCACCTTTTAATTCCAACTCAGTGGTCTAAAAGGAAAGCGTTCGCGCGCGAGACTGAAGGCTCTGGGTTCAAATCCCGTGAGCGGGATCGTGGATAAGCACTGCTGAGGAGTTCCGCAATAGGATGAAACGGCCGTCCAGTGCTTTCAGGTTTTCGATGGTGGTCAAACATCAATTAGTTCATGATCTCAGTCAAAAACTTAATAATCTCCACAACCCCTATACTGATTTTAGTTTATTTGTTTAATTACACTTATGATAATATGGGAAAGAATATTGCACCTATGAACATGATTTTTTTTAGATTATTGAGTCAACGTTTAATGATCAATATTTTCAAATCATACAGTCTACCAAGTGAAGAATTAATTACATACCCGGCAATCATACTGGGTCATAATTTCTGATATTTTTAACCTGAAGGTTCTGGGTTGTACCTAATGAGTTATACATCAAAATGAAATAAGTGTTTAGTAATTCATTAATTTCTAGTAGTTTTGTAACTGATTTAAATTTTCAATCTCATATACCATGGAAGCAAATTAATCTAATAAGCACTGACAGAATGTAAACATGTCTAATTACATTAAATCATTTAGATAATATATTTTAATGTATATATATAGATATATCTATGCATTAAGCCTAATTGATTAATGATAATAAGAATATTAACCAAACAAATTTTAAACAATAATTCCATGTAATAATCCATTATCATATCATTTTAACTATCCATTCTTTTTAATAGACAGATAGATATAATGGAACCTTTTAAATTTATGCCACAATCTGGATTATAAAAATCACAAATTGTATATTGACTTTAATAAAGATCATGTGAATTCAGATTTCTTGGTTAGTATATTGATAAATACAATGAATGTATTGACATACACATATATATGTGTGTGTTCATGAATCAGAAACAAACTGAAATAAGGTCTACTATACACAAACTAAACTATTCACCCACCAAAATGAAAAAAAAAAGAAGAAAGAATACTATTCGAAAACAAGACAACCTAAAAAATCGGATTATTTGTGTTTTACTTAGGTGTTTAGGAAAAGATTAAACATCGGTTCAATCGAATCTATTATTAGTATTATTAGTATCATAAAATACTATTTACGGTGTTTAATCTTATGTATATTATAATTCCAATTCTATATTGACAGAAATTGTTAAACATAGAAGAATCATTTTATAGTGTATTATGAATTCCATATGAATTCATGGAAATCTTTAAATACCTAACAGAGGAACCAACTGATACTGTGATACTACTTGTTAAAAGTAACATATATATTAGAAATGAATGTCATTCTCTTAGTAATTATACATTGTGACAAAGTGATTAGACAGTGAAATACACTTTTCAATTTTTGTTTTATTATTTGATGGTTTAAATCCATATGAAATTGAAAGTTGAACATTCTTTTATGTTGGTAGACACTTTGATTATAGTGGTAATACGGTAATGTTAACTTTTATATAATGAGAATGATCTAATATCTATACTATTCCAGTATAATCAAGTTTCTGTTGATAAACTATGATTTTGTTTGAATTGGATAACAGTTATTATCAACTACTAATGTAAATTCAAATTTTTTTGGTTACTTTAAACCACAACCATTTCACCTTAACAAGTATACAAAATAAAAATGACGAAAAATGAAAGTAGTCACCTGACAACTGAAATAAGCAAATCAACTTTTATTGTGTAATTTATTTCAGATAATGTAATTTCTCCAAAATAAATTTCATTCATAAAATTGAAAAACCTTTAACCACCTTGATGAACTATTTTCCTGTGAAGTGGGCCCTGAGTAAATATACTGTTATACGAAACATTCTTTCTTATTACTATAATACTTAATAATCATTCTGCTCAAATTTAACTTGTAAACAGTATCTACTCGTTGATAGTTCAAATAGTTACAAACCGTATGATAATTAGACGGGAAATGAGCTTCACACATTATTATATCATGACTCGATACTAATTATAGTGATTAAACTGTTGCTGTTCTGTGTTAATGCGTGACATCAAATTTGTCATGAATTATCTTCATCTGGTTGACCTATGTTAACCAAGGGGCCCCAAATAATTTATCTTAGTAGGAAACTACTCGACAGTTTATACTTTACACCTAGTCTCTTACCTATAAGACAACTTAGCTAGATTCCGATGGTACACATATCTGGCTTCAATCAATTCACGATATTTTTTTAAAACTGCCATTCGATTTCTTACACTATAATTATCTCAGTACCTGTATGGTTCGAAACCTTTTATGATAGTTACTACGAAATGATTTAATAGTTGTAATCTAGTTAATTATGTAAACAGAACACTATGAAATTAACATTATTACACAAGTAATTTTCGTTGAAATATAAGATATTCTTTACTTATTATCTTGAGGGTCTTTTATAAAACTGGTAATCTGTAATTAGTTAATAACTACCATCATTGTAATCTAATTTGCGTTATGTATATACAAAGTAGAAATGATAATTGAAAATGTCACAGACACGTGTTACATGACAATTTATCCCATAAGAATAATTATTTGTATATTCTGTCAACTTTAAACAAATGTTATTCTTTACAATTTCTGTTTATTTTAAAAGAATTCCTAATCACATGTGAACTTATGACCTAGTAAAAGAGTAAGAAAATACAAAAAAAGGAACAACAACTGGATGTTTACTAAATTTATTACACAAGACAGAAAGATTTACAATAAATCATGATTAGGTAAATAATTCTTGATTTTTTTAAGGCAAAATTCATTTCAAAGATGGATAGCGGCTAGCAGTGGAATCCAGGACGTACATTGCATCCTATTTAGGACTTATCAGCTAGATTTACCTGCATCTCAGTGTTGATGTTCAATGTAAGACTCGAACCCAGTACCGTTTACTTTAAATGCTATTGCTCTATCCATTTAGCTATTCAGTCTAGAAAGCCAACTGTATGTGCAATGGGATAAAGTTTAAATTTACTTGATGTTGTTTTTTGGTATTTTTCCATTGTTGTTTAGAATTGCGCATCCTGGATTCCAATGCTAGTCACTATTCATGTTTGCTTATAAAGCTTATGACTTAAGGCTATATTGAGGCAGTCCGCACAGGATTCACATATGCCAACAAGAGACTGATCAATTGCAGTCCTAAATAACAATGGGAAGATACAAGTAAAATAACACCAAGTGAATTTTAAACTTTACTCCACTGCACAAGTAAGTGGCTATCAGGACTCAGTAACTAAGTGGATAACACAATGACATTTAAAGCAAACGGTACTGTGTTCGAGTCCCACAGTGAACATCAACTCTCAGATGCAGGTACATCCATCTGAAGAGTCCAGAAAAGAACGA